AGGACTTTTGAAGAGGGGAGACCGATAAGTATTTTGGTGACAGAAGGTTGGCTTTTGGTGGTTGAGATTGATTGAAATTTGACTTAGGTAGGGCAGCTGCACAAACCCTAATCGTTCAATTGCCGGTGATTGGTGGGGTGGACGGGAGTAGGGTTTGAGATGTTTTAATGAGTGATGATCGGTGAAGAGAATGATGGTGGTGTAGGGTCATAATAATGTCAGAATAGGAAATAGAATATAAATTTGGATAGTAAAGTGGTATTTTAAAATTTTATGGATGAAAAAGTGTTATTACGCTATTATTTGGGTGGGGAAAAGTCGTTTACTCTTTTATCAAAGAGAATGTCCAAATTAAAACCTAGTTGTGTTTAATTTTGTCTAGTAGATCATTGCTTAAAGGGGAGGTGTGCTTATATTTCTCAAACTTGTAGGATTTAGAAGTTTTTTCTTCAAACTGCGGAGGAGTTAAGTGTAGTTTACCCTTAATTATTGTTGGAGACCACAAACATGTTCGTTGTTAACTTTCATTATCACAACCTCTATCAATAAGAGAAGAAGCCACTAGATTTTAGACAAATCCTAAATAAATCAACCTATGAATTTCCTTGCTAGATTTATTTCAGAGCGTTTGTAATTTCCCAGAAAAATTATAATTTATATTACTGGGAATTGTACTTGACAGCAAAGCAAATATTGGGCCATGGGATCAGAGAAGCCTGAATTTTGTTCATAACCGAGAAAGATCCTACTGCCTGCAGAATTGAGGTTTTGATTAGACCTGGGCATGTGGGACCAAAAACCTGGTCCTTGAGAGGACCGGTCCTAGTAGGTCTATTCCAAAATCAGACCAAGCTTAAGGAGGAGGGCTTAATTCCTCCGTTGGACTCTCCTCCAAGCCCGAGCCCAAACTCTTTTAGTTTATTTATTTTAGTCCTTTGGATAATTATCAAAACCTCATATAAATTTTGAAATAAATAGAAATTATAAAAGTTAAAATAAAATTTTATAAAATTTAAGAAAAAAAATGTAGTTGCCTCCCAGTGCTACGCTATAAATATCCCCTAAATTTCTTTTTTTTTTCCACACCACTCAATCTCACTACTCCAAATCTCCAATCAAATTCTCATTCAATTTATATTTATAATTTATTCATATTATTATTTATTTATTTATATTATTTAATTTTTTCTATTTTTCAAAATCATCTCTTATTCATATTATTATTTAATTTTTTTTCATTTTAATTATTTATTATTTTATCATAAATTCACAATGGATTCCCAAAATGATACATTCGAAAGATCATCCCCAAATGAGTTTTATTTTCTATTTACCGAAGAAATGGAAGGGTTTAATCAATTTTCACCCTTTCCTCCAGAGACAGCAACTGCAATTCAACAACCACATTTGGCCGGAACGAGGTACAGCCAAACACAAGCGAGCTGCGACTCAACGGGCACGGACTTGGCCTAACCCCTCTAACCGTCAAAGAGGGTCATGTCCAATGTATAGAGACACTTAACCAAATCAAAACGGCTAAAGACAAATAGGGAGGAGGAAGAATCATGTGGGGTATGTAATTTTTGTGAAATCATTATTGGAGCTGAAAAAGGGACTTCGACAATGCGACGACACTTAGAGAAGAAGCACCCCCAAATAATGCAATTGTCCGGTACATCTTTAACATGGCAATACAATGCATATATTGCACAAGAGGAAATAGTAAGATTCATAGTTACTATGGACTCTCCCATATATTTATCTAAAAATCCTTATTTTATGCATACACTTATATTAGTAGAAGTACAAGTAGAAGAGATATATTAAAACTTTATAACAAAATAAATAATAAACTTAAAAACGAATTTCAAAAGTTTTAGGAATATATCTATTGCACTTACGTCAGACATATGGGCTTGTAGATCAAAAACATATTTTTTAACTATCACAATACATTTCTTAGATCATAGTTGGGGTTTACAACAAAAATTGATGGGTTTTAAACCATTATATGAAAAGCATAGTGCTGATATTATTTATTTTACAATTCTTGAAATTTTGCAAGAATATGTATTAACTGATAGAGTTGTAGCACTAACGCTTGATAATGCAGCTGCTAATACTGCGACAATATCTTTATTTGAAAAGAGATTGGATCTGCATGGTGAAGACAAAATTTTTCACCAGAGATGTGCTTGCCACATCATCAATTTAATTGTTAAAGTAAGTTTAGATGTTATACATTCAAAGATGGAGAGGTGCGTGCGGCTATTGGATTTATCGTCAGCGATAGTAATAAAAGATGGCAGGAGTACGTCAAATATTGTAGGTAAGAGGATCCACTGGTTCGACCTTTGAAGTTTTGTACGGACATGCTTATCCGTTGGAACTCCACCTACTCGATGTTGGAAAAAGTTTTGCCAACCGCAAGACAAATTACAGATTTTGTCAACCGAAAGAACCATCCAGAGGAAGTTGTCAGCTATGATAATTGGGCGGTTTGTGAACTTTTTTATTCGTTTTTTAAATTTTTTTATGATTTCACTAATACATTAAGTGATATTTATTATCCGACTACTAATTTAGCATTAGATATTTTACTTCAAATTTCTAAAACTTTTACTAAATATAGATATAATGACATTTTAATGGGAATTGTTTTAAAGATTGAAGAAAAATACAAGAAATATTGGTTAAATATTTCATTCTTATATGGATTAGGCCTTGTTGTAGATCCTAGGTTTGAATTACATGTAGTTAACTGTATAATTACTGAGATATGCCAGCATTTAGAACATAATTATACGTCTTATTTGACTGACTTTAAGCAAAAATTGGAAAGTCTTTTTTTCTTTATATCAGAACAAATACAATGGAAGTGGAAATTGAATGTCCAGGAGAGACGATCAGGACCCTAATGAAGACCTCCATCAAGGATCGAGCATGTGGACGTATATGGAATATGACGGAAGTAGCAACTCTAGCTCGTACATACATGGACCAAATGAGTTGAATCGCTACCTACAAATATATCTGTTCTACATGACAATGAAGGAGAAATGTGAGATGAATTTGCTTCAATGGTGGAACCAACATCAAAGTCGATTCCCTATTGTAGCCCAAATGGCACGTGACATTTTATCTATGCCGGTTTCTACAATTGCATCTGAGTTAGCATTTTCAATTAGTAGTCGGATTATTGAAGACAGAAGATGCTCTTTAACCGATAAAATTATTGAAGTGATAACGTGTTTATGGGATTAGACTCATACAGAGAGAAGACTACAATAACACCTTGAAAATCCCGAACTACTCGAACTCTTTAAGAACACAGATTTTAATGATTTAAATATTGTTGATGATGAAGATGAATAATTTAATAAAAAAATTATTTATTTATTTATTTGTGAAGCATGAATATGTGATTGTGTGAATATTACATTTATGTTAAAATTAACTATTATTTTATTTATTATTTTATTATTTTTTAAAATTAATTAAACTTTTACAAGCTTACTAATCTATTCCTGAAAATTACTAATCCCTCCTATAAAATTTTATTTCGCCTGTAAAATATAAAAAAAAAAGATAGAGGAAAATAAAATTTTATAGGCCCATAAGACCAGTCTTTGGCCTACAGGATTGGTCCCAGGGATCAGTTTGGGTCTTGAAATTGCTTATGGGCCTGAAATTGATCTCAAGCCCATAAGCGACTAGTCCCAAATGAGACCAGACCCAAACGCCCAGGCCGGTCCTTGACCAGCTCTAGTTTTGATGATGCCCTTCTGATTAGACGCTGGAGTTGGGAAATCTTCCACACCTTTCAAGAAAATAATAAATGCCCTTCATCTTTTAGCAATTAAAAGGCAGTATGTATGCTCGGAAATTTCCTTAAACTATGGTAAAAATGAAACCCATATTTATAGTCTCATTTATGTGAACTTTGCAAAGCTCGTGTGAAAACAAGTGTGCGCCTTTGTATGGTTCTTGGGTCGAAAACAACAAGCCTTGCAGCCGCTTGCTGCCATCTACAAAACATTATGCTCTCCCTGCAATTCAATAACTTTATATACAATAATGCTAGCATATAAAGTTGTTTTCAAGTTTATTTCTCGACTGAGGTGGTTTCTTTCATATCAAGACACATTAATTAGAAGAGTTCTTTTTTTTTCTTTTTTTTTTTTTAAAGGTGTCTTGACCAATTTGTGTGTATCTTAATTAATCCTCCGAAATCCTGAAGTGAACGATTGGATAAATCTCAAGTGTAACCACCATTATTAGTACCTGTGAGGACTCGAACTCAGAAACTCATATTGGACCCTTATACTCTTTTACTATCAGATCACCGAGTGGTGGTTTAATTACAACACAGTTAATTACAAGAGAGTTATTCAGCTGTTATCATTAATATGGTATTTACACATAAACAAACATATAAATTGAAATCCAAAATCGAAATCTCAACTTTATATGTGTAGCATTATTGTATTAATTATAATATTAATTTTGTTTTTAACTTTGAGATAATGTTAATTATTGCCTCTATCAAAAGCACACCACGCTCTGTTTTTCTAACTAAACAGACTCTTTCTTTTTCATAAGGTACAAAACAAGCATATACCTAATACTTTTTTCTGTTACAAAGTATATATATATATATATATGTTTCTGCCTATCTAACAACAAGCCAACCGCGAAACTGCAGAAAAAGCCACCCCAAACACCGAAAAGCTCACTAAAATATGTACTTATTAAGCTACCACCAACCTAAATATCCCAAAATCTACCTCCCCAAAAGCCCTATAAATGTCATACAACTTACAACTACTCTTCTACACCTAATTAACTTTGAAATAGTAACTCCCTACCCAAAAACAAAGAACCTGGGTCGGTCCAACATGAAAAGGCCTTCTAAAGTGTTGAAACTCAACATCCAGGAGGTGACAAGATAAATCAAAACATGCAAGCCATCTCATGTCTATTGTCTAAACCTGCTAATTTCACAAGTTCCATGGAGATTGTAACCCATCCCAGTCCTTAAAATCCTCTCCACCCAACAAATCACTCATCGGAAACCCAATATGGTTCACCTCCAATGCATCGTTTGCCTCCAGCAACTGCGGCCAATACAGATTTTCTTCACCGTCAATCCAACCAGAAAACGAACTCCCCTCCACAAAACCATCCTCCGAACTCCCACTCGAACCTCCAGACTCCCCAACAAACAAACTTCTGCCCACAGACTCACAACCCTTTACAACATGATCCGAACCAGAAACTGAAGTAGTAGGACAATTATATGGCAAGTTAACCTTCGCTTCGGGGCCATAGAGCTTCCATGCAGCTTCATCATAAGCTACAGCAGCTTCAAGAGAAGTGTTGAACGTGCCCAGCCAGAGCCGGGCGCCGCGGTTCGGCTCCCGGATCTCGGCCACCCATTTGCCCCAAGTGCGTTGCCTGACGCCTTTGTATGTGCACATAGCATTTTCTGGACCTCCTTTGCCTTTCATGCAGCCTTTTCTTGATCTTCCTATGTTGGTTTTCTTGGCTGCTTCTGCTGCTGCCGATTTCTGTGAACTTGCTGCTTCAGATCTCTCCATGTTTTGAGGAGTAAAGTGGTTTAATCTTATGGAGAATGTTATTTTGTATTGAAAGGAACGCATGCAGACGTTTCTTTTATATGCATGCCAAATAAGCCATGATGGAGAACTTGGCGATGGACACGTGCTATTTTATGTAACAAACAGATAAGGCTACATAAACTTGATATAAAGGGTAAATGACAAGTGTCATACAGAAAAATAATACTTGTCATACATAAAAATAACAATGTTATTTATCCTTTCTTTTAACAATTATACTTTCATGGATGTTTAAAATTCAATTTGATAGCTCTAATCGATTCATATAATACAATTTACGTTTCTTTTCTTTTTCTTTTTTTTAAATCTATTTATGCATGGAATTGATTTACAAACTAAAAAAAAAAATAGGATCGACTAATAGATTCTGTACAGTATAAAAATCCATTAATAACCGATCTAATCCAAATGAAAAGAATAATAGTTAAAAGATACTTTTTGTTGATTTAAAAATTTTTTAACCTTAATCATTACAGTATCTTCTTATATTTTATTTTCTCTAACTTTATCTTTAATTAATGGGATTAGATCGATAGAAAATTTTCTAGAGTGTGTTTTTTAAAACTAGTTAAGTTTGAAGCTGATTATAAATAATCAGATTTATAAATGGATTTTACAAACTTTAAACCAATTAATTTATAGGTTGATTTTGTGAAGTAAAAAGACAACTTATATAATTTATTTAAATACAAAATAAACCTAAATAAATGTTTGATTTGATTAAACATAATATTTTTTAAATAAAAAAATAAGACGGTTGGTTGGTAGTTGATACCCGATTGTCGGAATCCAACAATAGTCGACAAGGCACGTCGGCGGTGGCTGTTGGATTCGGGAAGTTGGGCACCAATCGATACTTTTTTCTTTTGAATTTTTTTTTAAATATTTGATCAAATAAATTTTAATTAATGTAATTATTTTTAACCTTATTTATACATATTAAAATATATCTTATGACTATAAAATATTTTAAGGAGTAAAATATGTCTTTTTAAGTGATTATACACTTAATAATAAAAAAGCAAAATAAAATTTTAGAAATCAAAAGCAACTTTAAGATTCTGATTTACCAAACATACTTAAAATTATTTTTAAAACTGATTCTTATCAAAGTTTAGAAAAAGCCGATTAAACTTAAAGTGACAATAATACCAAATTAACCCTATATCGATCAAATATGAATAGGATTGATTACTATTAATTAAATATATTGAATCCAAACCCACCAACTCCCCTATTTATTATACACGTGACTAAGATGATGATGAGCATTGAGCTCGGCCCTTCATGCTAGAATAGGGGCCGATACAGACATACAGCTGTGTGAAAGGAGCTTGGATATCAGTGCAAACTGAAAATAGAGATGATGATGAATAGTTTGGGAGGGTTTGGTAATAAAGCCATATATATAAATAAGAAAAGAGGATGCTGAGCTCAGTTGGCGTGTTTTATTAGATAGTTCCAAAGGACTGCTCAAACTTCAAAAAATAGCTTCACTCCTTGCCGCTTACGTGCGTTTGTGATGCGATGGCTCCTTTTCCGTAGCTTCCTCATCCTGCAGCTGCATGGCAGATCTTTTAGTTTGGCAACTGTTTTTTGACACGTTCAATTGTTGTGCTCTTTACTCGATGGGAGGACAAGACACGTTTCAATGTCTTGTTGTATTATATATTTAAAAGCAAATATTTTATATCAAATAAGAATAACATTGTATAAGCTTTTATATAAGTTGATCGAGTATAAAAGGAACAGATAGACATATAAAAGTTTAATATAAAAGATATTCAATAAATTTAGATGAAAGATTTATTAAGAAAAGATTGTAACCATTATTAGATGACTTGATGGTAAAAAAACAAGTACGAAAATCTAACATGACCTTTTAAGTATGAGGATTTAATAGGATCTCCCAAGTTCGAATTCCCTTGATAGTAAAAAAGCTAAAGGAAGATCTAACATGGTCTCCGAGTTCGAGTCCTCACGACCCCTAATAAGGGTGATTACTGAAGTTCTTACTCGACCAGTAATTTCAATGTCTGGCGGAATTAATTGTGGTGTGCATAAGCTGGGAGACTCCCCGATCATTAAAAAAAATATATTTTAACTAATTAAGTACTTCTAAAATAGCTTAACATGTGTATATAATTATTGACTGAAAACAACAACAAAAATGGCTAGATTGTTTATTTTGTTTGTTGACATTTGGTCTCTTGAATATTTAGTCATCACTTACACCAAAAGAACAAAGAAGAACCCAATTCTTATAAAATATATGCACGTTTTCTTAGCATTAGAGTTTTGAAGCCCTCCAGATATACATCTGAAGCTTGGATTGGCCAAAAATTGCCGCAAACCATTAACGATTTACACTACACCATTAGCATCAAAATATAGATTGCCTAAAATGTTGATATGAAAACTCGTACCAATCAGAGTGATCCGGTTGACTTTGACGGAATCGGAATCAATGTGTACGTGATTTAAGGTAAATCAACTATGTGAAGTGAATATGCGGTAAAGTAAAGAATACAAACAATTTTTAAGTGGTTTGGCAAGTTAAAACTTAAGCCTACGTCTATTGTTTCTCTTATTTCTTTTTAGAGAGCTTACAAGAGAAATATAAATATGCCTAGAAAAAATTGCTAACCCCTCTCTCATAGTTTGAGGGGTTTTAGTAAAAGGAAAGAGAGATAAGTCCGGGATTGCGATCAGATTGGTATGCAATCCTATGATCTTCGTGATTAAGCATTGAGATTGCGTTATCAATGGTATTGATCTTATCCCTTCCTAAATATCCGAGATTGAAACTTATCTTTGATCTGTCAAACAGCTATTAGGATCGGACGCTGTGACGAACTTCAACTGGATTGAGCTTACTCTAGATCGTACTGATTCTGGGTTGAGCTTACTCTGGATCTTATTGATTCTGGGTCGAGCTTGCTCTGGATCGTACTGATTCTGGGTAGAGTTTGCTTTGGGTCAAACTACATCTCTACGAGCTTCTTAGATCTGCGAGCTTTCTGGCAAAATCACACACAACATTTATCTCTTAGTGTTCGGAGGTCATGTCGAGCTTTGAAGATTGAAGTTGCTTGATTTGCTGCTCAGATTGAATTCCTTCGTTGATTCAACTCGTACATAGGTCGTTGAGATTATCCCAACTTCATCGTTTGACCTAATTAGCTTCACCTGATGTGACTGAGACTTAGCCTCTCGTTGTAATGCTATCGAATTCGAATTTTGAAATGAAGGACGAAAGGGTAATTTTTGAGCTGGCATGTTGCATTAAATGCGGTTAATTTTTTACAATCACTTTTCATCGTGCATGGATTATTACAGTTGGCCACGAGCGGAACCAAAGCGACATGCGTTGCTACTCGCAGAGTAGAAGCGATGCGTGCCAACGATTATCATTGCTTGATCCGACGGTTGATCGCCCCTCACAGATCATCGTCACGTGTAACAATTGGGCAATCAAGATTGCTCGGTGAATGGAGGACTGAGATTCATCGTGAATCAATGACTTAGATCGACTCTCCCTATTTTGGCTTCTTGCTTGCCACTATAAAACGGGTTGTTTGCCCTTATTTTTCCATTCCTGCCAAAAATCTTGAGAAGCCTTCATTTTCGCTTTCTCCTCTTCTTTTCTGTTAGCATTTGCGTCTTGATTTCATGGAGACTTTTCAGAGAGCCTTGCAGTCACTTGCATATCAGTAAGCATCCTTTACACTCATTGTCTTTGGTTTCTTCAATTTTTTGCTATCGAGGTGGCCATTATCAAAGCCAGGTTAGTTCTTTTGGGTCTAAAACCCGCTAACCTTGGGTTTTAAGAGCATCTTGATGAGCAACCATCGGAATCCTTTGCCGAAATTCTCCATCAGTTGTTGGGAATCTTGATAGCTTGCTCGAGTCTTTGGGTTTAGTTTCTGCTAGCTTTCTCAACGCCTGAACTGGAGGCAAGTGTGGAAAGGTCGCCCATTATATGACATTTGACACTTGTTTTTTCATGTTTCAAGTATCCACAAGCGAGCTAGTCAAGCATGTATTCCCGCAATGTTAGCATTGACAGGATGTTTTCTGAGGGCTCCCCAACAGCTTATGTTGGTAGTGGAGAGAGAGCTCAGGATGAGCTCGTTGCCGAGGCTTTAGAGCGGACTACAAGCAGTGGGGCTAGAAACTCGCTAAACCTAAGTGAGGAAACCCCTAACGCGAGCCCCCCGCGACAATCTAGGTTTAGAAAAGATCCGACCTCATGTCAATCTAGGCAATTATTCTAGAAAAAGATTCATCATTTATAATTCTCATTCAATAAGACTCAAGATTCAAACTTGCTGAACCACTTTACAAATTGCCTCTTGTCATCACCCATTTTTGCTCTTTAATTATTTCATTGCTGATTTTCATTAAATCATGCACACATCCGAATCGGATCACTTTGGTTGGTGCGAATTTTTGTATCAACAAAAAGCATAACCGAAGGTGTTGTCCCATTTACCCAAAAAAAAAAAAAAATTGTGTTGGAATTCAACAATCTCCGACAATTGTTTTTTCTTTAAAATATATTAAATAAATTACTTAACTTTAAAGTTAAAATTGATAACATTAATCCTCATGAGATACAATATAATAACAAAATTTCTGATGAGGTTTTCAAAATAATAGAAATCCCTCTTGTCGTTAATATTATTATGAGTAAATGAATATTACCTAACTACTCTCCTACTTTTTATTTTAACACTTAAAACTTATCGACCTAAGGATTTTTGCTATCATAACATGTCTCAAGGGATTGATATTAATAACTCTTAAAGTTTAAAGTAAAATTAGTTTTTTTTTTTAATAGCTATTTAAATTTAAATCAACACTTCTTTCAAAGTTAATCAAAAAATCAATATAAGTTTATATAATATGATACTGCATCAATCACCATATAATATCTCGTAATAGATATAATATTA